ACAACCATAGCATACCCCTGGCTGTGGTGAAAGTGTTATTTTTGTGAAATGGAGCTAAGAGGCACCCTGGACAAAGATACTAGTTTATCCTATACCTAACGGAACCTAACCTACATCTCAAGCCCTATACTTGTTACCTAGCACAGTTTGTATAATGAGAGCCGATTTGTAGTCCGTAAGGTTAAGATATCTTTATTCAGATAAACACCAGCCAAACACAAGCCAGAGCGTGCCAGGGACCGCAAGGCAGGCAGGCCAGAGAGAAGGGGCACCCATGTGCCTTGCAGCCTCTGTAAAACCTATTACTCAGCGGGGCAGTGGTGGCACATGCCTTTAATCCCAGCACTTGGGAGGCAGAGGCAGGTGGATCTCTGTGAGTTTGAGACCAGCCTGGTCTACAAGAGCGAGTTCAAGGACAGCCTCCAAAGCCACAGAGAAACCCTGTCTCGAAAAACCAAAAAAACAAAACAAAACAAAACAAAACAAAACAAAACAAAACTAGAAACAAAACAAACCTATCACTTGTCATCCTGACCTCACCTTGACTACTCCCTGACAGGCGTGGTTATGGTGTCTCCATACAAGTTTGCTACAACTTTATTTTTGTTTTTAATTGTGTTGTGTGTGTGTGTACAGAAGCCAGTACAGGGCAGGTGTCAGACGCCCTGTAGCTGGAGTTGCAGACGACGGTTGGTGAGCTGCGTAACGGGGGTGCTGGGAAACAAACTTAGGTCTTTTACACGAGCAGTACATGCTTTTAACTGCTGAGCCATCTTTCCTGCTCAATTCCTGTACAATCTTACATAGTCCTAACCAGAAAATGAAAAGCATTCATTTATTCATTATCTATGTGAAAAACTCACTTGAGGCAGCATGAGCAATACCAACTAGTAGAAAGTCCAGAAGTAGATATTAGAAATAAGTTTGTATAGAAAGAGACCAACTCTGATGATGTCTTCTGGCCTGCAGGCATGCAGGCAGGCAGCATTCTATACATAATAAATAAATCTTAAAAAAAATAAAAAAAATTTAAAAAGCCGGGCGTTTGTGGCACATGCCTTTAGTCCCAGCACTTGGGAGGCAGAGGCAGGCAGATCTCTATGAGTTTGAGA